ACTCACTGCGCTACCACAAAGTAACCGATCAAAACCGGAAGCCGACGCGAAAATCGTAACATGTCTATGGTCGTTAAATTGGCCGTCGGCGAATATAATAATTGCGTTGTTAAAAATATTTGAAGAGCAAAAAATTTCTATTCGTATTTTGGAGTAACGCAAAGCCTAATGCTTTGGAAATAATTGAAGTGAAAAAATTAAGAGATTATCGATCTACAAGCCTATTATGTTTATGAAAAGGTTAATAAGTGATTTTAAATATACAAAAAATGCTTTAGTTTTTAAGGTATTCCCGAGAAGTATATACTTTAAATAATTATATACAACTTTTATTCCTACTACTGCTAATACTTCCACGACTGCTACTAAAAATATGTAAAATTAATCATAATAATATTAATAATAATATTGAAATAATATTCATGAGCTTAACATTGAAAGAATTCTTGTAATAAATCAATGTGAGGAAGTGTTTACATAAAGCTATTCGTGGGTGTATGTTCATAATTTTTCTTTTGTACGGCAAGTGACTTTTGTACAAAAATTGCAGGGTGGTAATGATTATAAATACTAAATCTACCATGAATGACTCAAATGACTCATTTTCAATATTTGTGAGAGTTTCGTTCAATCACTATTTTCCATTACGTGTTTTATTGAAAAATACATTGAATTATTTCAGAAGATCATCTCTTGTTATTTTTTAACAAAAAACATACATATATATGTAAATAAACGATTGTATTGAACATTTTTGCTATTGAGTGTTAAAGGATGTTTTTTGATGTGTGCTTTTAATGAGGCAATATTTTTTCGCAGTTGGTATTTTTTGCAGCTGTTACTTGATTTATACTAAGTTTGGTTAGCTACTTCACAATGAACAGACTTACTCCGAAACAACAAATTTATTATTAAAATAAGGGTTCGGTTGACGTGACGCATCACGTGCTGCGTCCAATATTTTGTCGACATAATCGCCTTACAGAGTCGGTAATAAGGGAAAACATGGGTCGGCATCTTAATACGTTTATTCTAGTGGATAATGCGCATCCTCAGAGACGACGCACAGTGCACAGCGAAGACACTATTGCTGTTGTAAATAAGAGTATCGAAGGAGACTCGATCGCGTTCATCTGTCATAGCGGGCAACAATTGGAGCTATGCCCATCCACGTTATGGAAGATTTTGCGGAAGGGTCTTTTTTGCGGGTATGTCGACCATCAAGGGCGTTGCGCGCTCGTTAATTGTCCCAAAACGAAATGTCCGCTGATCCCGATTTTCAGAAGAATAATTTGTTCAGCGACGAATATCACTTTTGGTTGAAAGGGAACGGACAACCAAACAATTCATTTATTAAAGAAAAATTTTGGTGTAAATATAATAAATAACTGTAACCAAAGAAACTAGATGACTTACTCAAACTTGCTCACTTGCTTATGTGGGAAAGGGACCATCCTGAATCTAAATAAAAAATTCTACTGAATTAATTTCAAAAGAATTTGTACTGGCTCATAAATCAGCATTCAAAATTACTTTACTGGCGTAGGCAAAACTCACGTCAACAACATTGTGCCAATTATTACTTCTTTTCACTAGTGCAAGATGCGGTAACCAAACCGTGTGAATCCTTGGATCACAGCCAAAATAGTGGAACTTTCAGTGGAGCCACTCCGACTTATTCGGTTTAAGGGTTCACTGAATTGTAAATGCAGCGTTTATTCGCAATAAGTGCGGCTGCGAGCGGGCGTCGGTCTTGAAGCAAGCGGCTTGCTATATAAATGTGTTAAAAATTTAAAGTTAGTCGCCCAGCGAGGTTGTGCACTGTGTCTGGTACCCGCCAAAGATTTCAATCTAAAACCTTTAGAATGTTTTTGAATTCGAAGGTGCTCCGCCGTATGTTGGAATGTACTATACACATTTCTTCAGTCAAAGTCACATAAACCAATTAATGCGACACTTTATTTTAGCTTAAAAATCGGCTTTTTATATTTCACTGTAGTGTGTACTGTTGTCGTTTTTGTTGTAGCGGTTCGCTTACTCCGTTTAGGTACAGGTTTGATTAATCTAACTCGCCTGGGAGGTCCAGGAAACGAGCTCTTTCGACGGGGTTAAACCAAAGGGAGAGGGGAGCAAGATGAGTCGTGCGGAGACTCTCTACATGCGGGGTATACGTTGGATATACTGGGGTCGAGTCGGGATAAGTAAAACTTTAACCTGCTGCAGTATACAGACCTAAGTTGTGGCTAGGTCACGCGGGTCTCTCGAGGCAGCTCGGGCTCGTTGTTTGCAAAGGGTGGTTCCACGCCATTCACTGGAAGGGAGTCTGTGAAGGTGTTGACTGACTCCTGGTAAATGGCTTTCAGTGCCTGTCTGTACAACGTCCTGTCCAGAGGTTGCTGTACATGTTGCTTTTTAAATAGAGTACTCCCTTTCTGACGAGCCTAGGTGAAGGTTCAGCTTCTATTAGGTGCCTATTGGGGTGTTCCCTGCGGTAACATCCCAATAGGAGCTGCTTGCACAGCAAAGCCTTGTGCTCTTCACTGTTCCTCTTGCAGTCCTGAGGGCGGTGTTCTGACAAGTCTGTAACGTCTTCATCTGCGTCTCGCTCGTCACCGGCGCCGAGATCGGTGCAGCAAAGTTAGCGACCGGCCGGCCAATTATTTTGTAAGTTGTAAGTTGCAAAGTTTCCTTGTCTTTAACCCTGGTACTGCCGGCTAGCGCTCTCAGTATTTTGTTGCGGCTCTGGAGCTACGCGGCAATTACGGTCGTATGCGGAGTGAAGGAGTGCAGGCTGTTTAGGGTTACTCCCAATATTTTTGGGTTATTTACCGTCGGAATTTTTATGTCATCGACCTTCACAACTAGTTCAAGCCTGTACTCCTTCGTCCAGCTGGTGAAGAGGGCAGCCGAGGATTTCGTCGGTTGAATTTGTGGCTGTCTTGCAGTGAAGAAGTGGGAGAGATCAGCGAGGTTGCCGTTTACTTTCGAACAGAGATCATCAACATCTTGGCCAGACGCCATTATCGTGCAATCATTGGCAGACGAGGTTAGAGAAACTCCTTCTGGTGGAGGAGGGAGTTTCGAAATGTAAAAATTATGCATTTGCGGAGCCCCTGTTTAATTTTTCTGGGTTTCGGTGTTAAACCTCGGAATATTACCGATGATTGTCGACCACTCAGGTAGCCCATGATCCACCGCAAATCCAGTGCTAACAAGACAGTTCGCGGGCAGGGTTGGTTTTGGTTAAAGCCATTGACAATCTGGGTGTTTATGGCGTTAAGTGCTGTTGTGGTGATGTGCACTTTTCGGAAGCCATGCTGATGTGCAGCTGGACGTAGATAATGAGTGAAGGTCGAGAGCAGCAAAGCCTCAAGTGTCTTCGCTACTAGGGGGAGGAGAGTTATCGGCCGATAGAACACTTCTTTGTTGACTGGTTTCCCCGGTTTGAGTAGCGGGACCACCCTACCCATTTCCCACACATCGGGTATCTTCAGGGTGGTTAAAGACAAGTTGGGGATCTTGGTGAGAAATTCTATTCCCGCTCGTCCGAGATGGTTTAACATCAGCATGCTTATTCCGTCGGGACCGATGGATTTGGATTCTTTCGCCTTTCCGATGACCCCCTAAGCCTCTTTCCTGGAGAAATCAAGCACCGCGCTGGCGGCTTACGTATACGGTGGGCTACACGTCGCTTCGCTTTTTCTACCTAAGGATGCAGTGTAACAAGTCGGCTAAAATAGCTCGCGTATCTCTTCCGGTCAGACAAGACGCGTTCACCGAATGGTCGTTTGACAACGACTTGACTCTAGCCCAGAGCTTAGCTGCCCCAGAGGAGAGGTCGCAGGTCCTCAGATGTTCCTCCCACTTCTTCCGCTTATGCTTGGTTACTACTCTGCGAATCTTTTTTTAATTGACAAGTCTAATTATGTGTTGTATTTCTTAGCTAACTCTGTTTTTGGTGTTGACCCTGGTTCGTAGATAAACTAAATCGTCTAAGGTTTCAAAGTTGTTATTATAACCAGTGACGTGGGAGGCAATACACGTACCCATGGTCTGCTTGTTTGATGATGCGATATATTTCGTTTCTTCACTCTGCCATGAAAGTCGGAAAAGCACAAAAAAAAACCACGTTCTTTTAATGTACAATCAAAGAAATTTCGTAGCTAATCGTGTTGGCTTTGCCGCCTACCTACTTTTTAATATTAAAATTTTTTGTATTTTTTTATCAACATTTTCTGACAATGGACTAATTTGTATTCGTTTTTTGTATCTAATGCACTATCTTCGAACACCAACAACTAAGTGCTACCAATTATACAATAAGAATAGAAGATATGTAAGAATAAGGAGCAAGGAAAACTTGTTTCCTTAACAGCAACCATCTAATTTTCGTTATGCATAGACATCATATTTATAAATAGGTAGTTTGTATGTACGTCAGTGTGTACGTATCCAACGGCATTTATTGAGGGGACGATCGTATTGTTGCATATACGTAAGCAACTGATAGGGCTTCTAAACTAAACAACTCTCTAGCGGCAACTGATATAAAGAGCAAACAAACGAAAAGAGGAGCAAAATAGATATTTAGATAGGTAGCACTTGAAAGGAGTGGAGAAGGTGTTTTAGAATTGCAAACGTATGTACATATACATACATATGTATATAGGTACATGTATGTATGTAGAGTTGTAAATACAACCGTGTGTATTTATATTGGTAAGTAAGTATGTATGTATGTATGTATGTAGGTTTATACCCAATAGCAATATTACGAATACCAATTTCAATTCAAGGTGATAAGAAGTGACTACTTTAAATCGTTCGTATCTCGATATACATATGTGTGTACATACATATATGCATATGAAATATATCTATGTATGTATATTAATATAATATCTTCGAATATGGAACAATCTTACTACCACCTCCTCGATATGGTATCTACACTTCGCTCCATAGGAAAGCGGTAAACATTGTGGTTTCTCTGTAAAAGCGGTGCGGTTGTGCTTTTTAAACTTCTCGCAGTCGAAATAGTGCGTAAATATACTATTACATACTTACATACATACATGTATGGTAGTCTATGCAAATATAAAGTGTAGCCTTAACTCGTGTCGGTTATCTAAATAGTTCACTTCGCTTTGTAAAACCGCCGGGCAATTCGGCTACGTATGTACATATATACAATAACAGTTAAAAGATGAAGTGGTTAAAAAATATAAACGCAAGTTTTTACTTATATTTATAAGCGCCTGAAATTAGTTTGCGTCTGCACAAAAACAACAAAATATTAACGAAAAATATAATAATAATTAATAAATTTAATCGAACGCTGTCGGCAGTCGTTTTGCAATATAGCCGTCGGTGCATAACATACTCTGATCAAAAATGAGCCAATGACTACCGCCAAGTGAACTCTAAAGTGAATATTCCACAAAATAAAAATATTTACATAATTTATGAGTTTATTCAATATAATTTTCTTGTTCCTTTACATCTACATCTATCGTTTGACGTGTATTCAACACATAAATTTGTAAACATATGTATGTGCATACACCACATGTATATATGTTATGCGTTTGTATGTATGTATGTATGTAATTACAAAATTTTATTGATGTTTGTACATAGCCTTCATTATATTAGCATTAGAATAGTGAACGTGTTGCATTAGCAATGATGCAAACTTTGAAACCCCCACCCCCACTACTACAACACCACCATCAACACAAGCCGCATACACACCCGCAGCCACAACTGCCGCCGCCGCCGCCGCCGCAGCAGTCTCATTCGTCATTGGCCTCGTCATTGCTTAGCAGCAACATTTCTATTATGAATAATCATATCCATCAACAGCAACAGCAACAACAACAACAACAACAACAACAACAACAATCGCATCCTTTGATGCATCATAATCATCAAAATCCACAAACGATGATGCATCAACCGCAGCCCAGTCACCTAATACCCCCTGTACCGTCGTTACCTCTGCTGCCCACCTTGCCTGCCTTGTCTTCTGTATTGCCGCCACCGTCATTGGCAAACTCACAAGCTCCTACAATAATGAATAGCAGCATAGGCATAGGTAAAGGTATAACGACGGGCAGCAGGAGTATTCTACAACATAATCACAATTCAAGTCAGCAAACACAACAACAGCGGCAGGGTAGTAGTAATGTTGTTGCCACTGCTGCTGCGGCTGCCGCTGCTGCTACCGGCGTCCATCTTGACGATGAGCCAAATCCAGAAATGGTGCTCGCTTTGATCTCAAGGAATCGTGCGCTCGAGGGTAAGTCATTCAGTTTGAATAAATAAATTATATGAATTAGACCAGTTGTCCATCAAATAGATATGAAAATAAAAGAAAAATAAATCCATTAAATCCTCAGGCTCTATTTAGGATATGTATATACATATTTATTTGAACGTAAATGTTGTAAAAGCACTGGTAGTATTAAATTTGTTTTGCTAATACCAGGCAAAATTGTTTAGTGGACTTTGACATAATACAGCAGAGACAGCAGTGTCTGTTGCTACGCGAGTAGCCATGGGTTTCAGCCTGGTGGCTTGTAAAGCCTGAATAGATTCTCGAACGAGCTCCTCCAGTTTATGGTGTGCGCCTTGAAGTTTTAGCAACAAATGAAGGGACTTGCCAATGTATTCGGTGGAGTTTTATGAGGGGCATTATTTTATGTCAGAAATATACTCGAACGGGCTGACATTCTCTGCTGGGGATGGATGACTGCGACTAGACAAATTTACGTGTACTAACCTCGAAACCTCGTTTGGTACGTTTACATAAATAACATTTTTCCACAACCTCCGCCGAGAAAACCACTGGCTCCAACTGCTCATTGGGTTGTTAGAGAGTTTTTGTTATTATCGTCGGTGTGTCCAAAAACACAGCGGTTCAAAATCCCGGAAATAAAAATTATTGTAGTTAGCCATAGTCAGTGTTCGAGTCCTGGTTCGACCGAATATCCAAAATTATAAAAAATCTATTTTTCTAATTAACGTCGCACATCAGTTAGGCCCCAATGGAAGAGACCAAGTGAGGCCAGGTCGTTCTCTATTTGATGCTTCCAATGGAGTTGAGATCATCCAAATCCTTTACTTCCTTCAGTTGTTACTGCTTCAAATACTTTCAGTTGGTTTGGTTTAATGTCGTTGAATATCTCATACGGCTCAACGTTCCATCGTCTTAAATGTTATCATCTTTAATATAATATGTCATAATCCACGGTGTGAAAATTTCATGAGTCCAGAGTAGGATTTATGTTTACTCTTAAAATGGAAAAAAATATGGTTGTTTGTACCTTTAGAGCTCAGCTATATGCAGATATTGTCTATAGGAAAAGGATCGAGTTGTAATGATGTTCTCAGCGCTGGATGTATAGCTCAGTTTACCAGTAGAAAAATAAGGAGAACTAGGTATCAATTGCGATTAAGAAGGACAATCTATTCTATAGTCTTGAATTTGTTTCAAAAATTAGTTGAAATGAATCAAAAAATGTATCGATGATCTTATGGAAAAATTATTAATTACAGATTCATATTTAATTCTTTTTTGTATATTAAGTTTTTGTAATTTGCTGTTTCTCAAGCTAAACAAAGAAAGATAAACTGGATTTGCATCAAAGCACATCATTGAAGTACCGTTGACACATCACGCGACTATTCTCAAGAGAACGCGGCACATTTCACATAGAAGGCTTCCATATAATTGATATTTATGAATATGTGTGCATACATTAAAGTAGGAGTGGTCGGAGAGAATGTGAAACTCGTGTAGCGATTGTAATTACAAACAAATATAATAATATAAAACATCTTCTATTCCGCATTTCTAATGCAGCGCAAAATATTATATTAAACCGCACGCGGCGCGTGATTGGGCGGTAGGTGATGAGCGTTAGCTTGCACTTCAAAAGAGCTTACTTAGTTAAGTCGGAAGACAATTGCAAGTTGTGCGGCATTAAATGGCGTTTCCACTCATGCACGTGCCGCAGAGATCCGCCAAGTACCAGCTGAGACACACTCCATCGCTTTTACGCCTTCGCCGCAGCATGAAGAAATGAGTGTGGCAGGTTGCAAAGTGCATGGAATAGACGACAATCAGTTTACGTTGTGCAGTGCATAAGTTCGGTCACGCTTTCTTTGTATGTACATATGTATTTGTAAATAGTTGTTAGTGCATTAGCATTTAGTGTTGGGCATTTCGTGTGCCGAGTGTACATATAGCGAAAAGATCAACAGGCACGAGGAATAAATATTTCTCCATAATATTTATTGTTGCTTGTAAAGTTCACTCTGTTTTACGAGACTCTACGAGACTGTTTCCCAGCAGTATTTTCTTTCAAAATGCATATTCCCAAAGGAGATGACGCACGATACGCAGACGCCTGCTATGTTGTTTTGACTCGCTACGCAAAGCGAGCAGAAAAATTGAATTATTTGCTTGAGGCTTTAGTGTAACCGAAAACCTGTAACCAGAAACAAATATTTTATTAACACAAGTACCGCGTGTTCTCCTGTCCGCATTCAATAAAACTCGACACAACCCTCCGGGCGATGACGCTATGGAAAGGCGCGACTTCTTTTGAAATTCTGCTTGAATGCATAAATATGAGATACGAGTATAATATATTTGTTTGTATATTTACAAGTATGCTTATTGTTATGCTATCCTTGGTGGTATTTGTGGTGGTGTTGCTTCCTGCTGCAATTGAATCAAACCCAACCCAACCCAATACAAACCAAACCGGAACCCAAACCTACACCCTTATTGCGCTGTTTACTGATTGAGAGTAATTGTTTGCCCACTGTCAAAAATTGAGTAAATATGTTTGTCATTTCACTTGATGCACGCACTTAACGAATTTAAAACGCTAGTTGCTTGTACTCGTAGAAATTATACTCCTACACACATACATACATGTACATACATATTTACACAAACGACTGTCGCTCATCTAAAAACTTGGCTTTTAGCCATACGTCAAGGCTGCCGCGTGCCATTGTGTACAATGGAATTATCGCGTTAAACTGAGCGACGAATGTATGTTTGTAAGTTTGTATGTTTGTGTTCACGAGTGTCCTTATTAGGTTGGGCGGAACATTGAGCATTTCCTTCGATTTTAGCTAGACTACTAAGTCATTTGAGGAATAGTCCGAGAAAAAAAAATAGTTTATTAGGCGCTTTTAGGCCCCGTTGTCATACAGAATCTAGTGTTCTTCACTGTGGCACAATGCTTTTTATTTGCGAAAAAAACTTTTACGACTTCACTTTGGTGTGATTGATCAAACATTTTCTTTAAAAAATTCATCCGAGTATAGCGCATACCAAATTGAAAAAGAAAATGTTTTGAAAAATATATGCATGTGCGATAAGGTGATTTGTGAAATATACAAATACTAAAGAGTATAAAACTGATCTCCTGTAATTTTTCTTCCGATATAATAATAGCACAACAGTCGCTTCTTCTTTTCGCCGTTTGACGCTAATCTGATACACTAAGTGTAGCCACGGCCTTCTCCACCTGATGTTTCCAACGCAAATGAGGTCTTCCTCTTCTTCCATTAGCGGGCACTGTATCGAAAACTTTCAAATCTAGAGTGTTCTCTTCCATTCATACTCCATTGATTCGCTGAACTCGTGTGTATGCCAATGTCGCCACATATATCTTACAGTCCATTATTCATTTGCCTGCGAGACACACCTTTACCAATGCAGAAGGGACTATAAATCTTACGCCACCTCTCAAACCTTCTTCATAGTCGGACAATGGAACATCTGCTCCTATACTCTGGGTATCAGTGGCTAAATCAGCTCTTTGTCTTAGGAGAGTTGGTCCGGTCTTGCAACCCCTTGTAAGTCGCTTTTCGCAGCATTTTGGAGCGTATCCGTTGTTGGCCAACTTCGAAAGCTAATAGTTTTATTTCCAAGTGTACGTAGGGCGCTTAGAACTCCGTCTTACAATTCCCTTATATCGTGCTTCTGATGAGTTGCTCTCAGATGGCAGGAGTGCAAATCGATTAAAAAATCCATCAGGTGTCTTTTGTGCAGTTTTTCTAAATCGAAACTTCCTTGTGTATGTTGATGTGTGTTCTTTGCTACACAGAGGTGAGTGCGTATTTTTGCGAAGACAATCAAGCAACATGATGAATTTTCTTCTGCAGGGATCTGCTACTGCAGACAACCATATTCCGGCCTCGGCGAAGACGATCAGTCTCAAACCGTTTGGAGATATTTCGTAGCGGCGGCTGAATTTACCGACAGTTGTACCAAAGATAACTTTTTTCCACACAATTTCGGCATCGTGGTGAGAGCAGTCGTCATAAATCAACTATCGTACATTTTCGCATATTTAACTTACGTGTATGATCTTGAGACATTTGATGACAAATTTAATTAATCGCACATATTTTGGTTTTACCCGAATATCATTCTGTGTCACTTCGAAAAAGGTGTACGAGTACATTTCAATGTCTCTTCACCCGAAATACCTTACGTAGAGTACGTTCACGTATGTTGTAATTCGACGCACAACCAGTCGGGCATATTCGGTGGAAAAATAATCGATCACCCTACTTCGTATTTTGTAATAGACAGCAATATCCAGTTATAAATGTACACATCCTTACAAAAATACACACACATACCAATGTACATTCAAACACATACACCCTTACAAGCATATTAACCAGGGTGGAACGTATGTAATTTGTTTTATGTCAACATTGCATTGTATCCTTATGGCATTTCGACAATTCCCCCGACTCCTTCGGGCCGGACAGCGGGGCTTCTTTTGTTCGGAATACTCTGAATAAATGTTTATATTAGTGGCGGATGCATTTACACGCGTTCCATCCAACGGCTGTTTACCCGAATGTGTATCGAGTGGAAATACTTGAGTTAAGCCAAAACATACTCGATAACAGGATTTTATTTATTATTAGTATTATTAGAAGTTATTAAATTAAATTAGGATCAATTTCCACTGAGTGGTTTTTAGTATATGAGCGAGTGCTTTGACTTATGTACTTGAATATTGTGATAAAAAGTATTGTAAATATAAATTCCATACAAACATATGTATTTATAAACTCATCTATGTAAACAATAATTTCTTCTGGCAGCGTATAATATTATATTTGTGCTTATGGCTTAGATGCTTTCAATATTTTTACAATACAGTCACATACTATAATTTTTATTTCTGCAATTATGTATATATGTATGTGAAATTTAGTTTCAGAAAATAGTTTCAGGTTGGTAGCACGTCGAAA